CAAGGACGGCAGGCCAGGCGGGGACCTTCTTTCTCCCCTTTCTATAAATCTCCGCCTGGGACTGAGCTCTCGGGGCCTGTGACGGCCAGACACTTGAGCTCTGCTGTCCCGGCCAACGGGTCGGCCCCGAAAATAAATATTTCATATAAAAGGTCCATTGTCTTTGCTCAGAGACAACTGTTGCTTTTTCTTCCTCTTTGGCCCCAGAACATCAGAAAGCAGGGCCGGTGCCTTTCGAGCCCTTTCTTGTCCCAACAAGACGCTTGGAGGGAGGCAATCTTGCCGGGCCTCCCTGAACGCCTGGCCAGGAGAGAAAATGCTCCCGTGCGGGTCAGTCCGAGGAACAACACAGGCGCTCTGGCCATGAGCCCTCCCCGCAAATCGCCATCCGCCTGGCCAGCTAGCACCCGGGGGGGGGGGGGCTCCTCAAAGAATAGGCACCTCTTTTGTGAGCACATCCTGGGGACCTCCCCCAGGGGACTTGGCCCCATCTCCTGTGCCCAGGGAAGGCAGGGCTCTGCGGGCTCCTTGGTCTCCCTTGAAAATATCACCAGCGTCCACCGTCACTGCCATCTGTGGGGCAGGGGGTGCACTTCTAGGTGCCTTTTCTAGTGACGCCCGAACTGGACTCTGCTTCTTACAGACTCAAAAATATAATGACTACTAGCAATAAAAACCCTGATTACCGCTGACAACAATAACGGCGATGACGGTGGCAGCCATTTACGGCACCCCTGGCACGCGACCGGGCCTGTGCTCCGTGGAAATAACTTCATTGCACCCCCCAAATGACCCTCCGAGGTTGGGGTTATTATCCCTGCTCTCCAGCTCGGGGCACAGACCCAGGGAGGGGACGTGACTCGTCCAGGCTCACGTGCTGAGCCAGGGGCCAGGCTGGGGCTGCCGGGATGTGAGCCAGGACACCCGACTAAACAGGGGGTCTCTGTGGGTCCCCCAAACACGCAAGTCTGCCGGCCAAGCCTGACGACCACAGACCAGATGTGTTCCTGCCTGGCCTCGAAGGACTTCCCTCTCTTCTAGGGCACTGTCCCTCTGGGGAGGGGGGCACAGAGGGGTACCTTATAGGACGCTTTCCTGGACACTGGTGGGTGCCCCCCAGGGTGGGCCAAGCCCTCCAGCCCCTCCCTGGGCCCCGGGGGCTGCCTTCGAGTCTAACCTGGTCCAGGCCGGGAGGGAACGGGCCCCAACGCCCTTTAGGAATGGGAGCAAATACGTACGGGGGTTCCCCGGAGTCAGCCGTGGGCAGGCAGGAACCTCACGAACAGAGAGGAGCCCTGCTGCAGAGCTCCCCCCAGTTCCGACCGGGCGAAGCAAGCGCGGTCTGCTGCAGTTCACGTGGTGTGCTCGAGACTGGGACACGGTGGAGGCTCCCAGTGCCCCCACATGCCACCCATGTGAGCAGCCAGCCCCCTCCCCTGCACTCGGGGGACCCCTCACCCGAGGTCTGGGGCCACAGGTGGCCAGGGGCTCGGCATGGTGAGGCCCCAGTGCAGGAAGGCAAAAATGAGACTACCAGGGCCATCTCCCCACCAGCCCACCCCAGCCCACGAGAGCCTGGCCCCCTGATCGGTGCTCAGAACTGATGAAAGAAGGAGACAAGACAGGAACCAGTTTCGTTTTCAGAACCCTGTCTTTTGTGCGCACGTCATCAAAAACAAAATTTGGCCTGGAGGGGGTGTCCCAACACCTAAGAGGGCCCTGGGGGGACTACAGTTGCCCCTGGAACAGGCCTGGCCCTGAAGAACAAGGACAAAGGCAGGGACTGGGCCCGAGAGGCAGCCCCTCTGTTTCCTGGAGACTCAACTTCGTCACATTCCGCAGGCCAGGGGCAATACTTCGGGGCAGGAGACAGGCCTCAAGGGCTGTGACGCACAGCAACCCCTTTGAAGCAGCCCGATGGGCACATCCTTGGGCGCTCAGGCCTGTCCCTGTCCCCGTGTCTGGCCCGTGGGCCCGTGGAGGAGTGACGGGTGCCCCTTGTTTTGCAATCTGTTTTAATCCTGGGGGATGCCCGGCAGTGGCGGCAGAAGGCTGTGCCGTTCCCACCCGGCAGGCAGTGCCTTGCAGCTCCTCCGTGCACCCACGGAGACGGTCTCCCACATTTTGCAGGCGAGGCCCCGAGAGCAACGGAGCTTCACATAATTACCCACCTCGTCACCGCCAACACCACGCCATGTACGGCTCCCGGCTGGAGTGCACGCCTTCAGCAGCTGCACCCCGATTCCAAGATCACTCCCAGTCGTCCCACCCCAGGTTTCATGTCTGCCAACTGCCTCGGATACAGTCAGAAATAAAAATTCAACATGGGGGGAGTGGGTTATGGGAGGGGGGTAATGGCCTAACAAAACAGCCGGGCCAGGGGACCCTGCAGTACCAAGGCAAACTTACAGCCTCCTGGCCAGGGAGGGCCGGACCTCACAGAAATGCTGCCCTGGTTCTTGCTGGGACCCAGGCAGCCAGGCAGCCCGGAAGAGGGCGGCTCCAGGCGGGCCTGGGCTACTCAGGCCTCTGTCCACGTTCCCGGAAACGCGGCCTCCAGTGCCAGCTCACAACTCCGGAGTGTTATGGAAACGGGCCGTCCCTCCCCAGGACACTGTGGTTGAAGCGCCCAGCAAGCTTGTCCGAGCCACACCATAAGCTGGGGGAGAGCGGCTGGGAAATCGTACCTGTGGACGTGACCGTGTTAAAAAGCGGCTGCATCCCCCACAGGGTTGGGCTTCATTTTAACAGGGAACACAAACACAAGTGCGAGCGTGCATTTTTGAATCCCAAGCAGCTAGAACCGATGAATGAGAACAAAATGAGGCTGTGCTGGCCTGGGCTTCGGAAACCCAACTTTGAAGAAATTTGCATCAGCGTTACCTGAAACCCCTGGACCGACGGCAAACGTCCTTCACCCCCTTCTCGCTCCCCACAAACTGGCCAGAGCCGGGGCAAAGCCTGTGTGTGAGCCACCTATAAAGAGGGATTTATTACGCAAAGTTATGAGTTGTTTTCGTTTTACGCCGCCATAAACAACAGCTTGCACGCACGGCCTTTCCCACCGCTGGCCGGGCTGCTGCCCGTGCTCGGCCAGGGGACCCCTAAATCAATGCTCCACAAATGTGGGACCAGCAGAACAATTAAGAGGCAGAGCTGGTGTAGGAAGTGAATGAAAAAATTTTCAAGGGACTGTAGCTTCCAAATAATCCTTCCAAACACATGTAACCTTTACATAGAGCTTCCTCTTTTCCTTCCTTTCTGTTTAAGACGCCTGCTAACGCTACTTTATCTGTTCAGCAAAATTCTCTCTGGCCAATGGCCCGCACACCTGAGCTCAGAAGCCTTATTTTTCAAATTCTAAGTTCCAGGATGTTAATGACGGCCATGGAGTTCTCAAAAGCTGCTGAGGCTTCGGGTTCAAGAGCAAGCCTCCTTCGTGTGCCCCCCTCGTCTGCGGAAGGCCTGTCCCACACAAGGGCTCTTCTTAGAAATTTCTTCATTAATATTTAAATACCCACTAAGTAGCGAAAGTGAGAAATGCACTTACCGTTCTCAGGAGTCGCCTTGAACCCGACGGTGACCCGTGGCGCGAAGGTCGGCAGCCGTGCCCTTGCGGGAGAACGCGCCCGGACGCAGCCCGCGCTGCGCTATGGTGCCCACAGCCCTTGCACAGGCCCTTGGCCCTCGGTCTGAGTCCTGGGCTCCAAACACTTCCCTTCATCGGGCGCCCAAACGGCAGAAATCAAAGCAGTGCCGTCTCCCGAAACTCTTCACAGGGCAGGTCGGCAACCTCACCGCGCGGGCAAAGCGCACGGCCAGGCCCCACTCCCCCAGACCCACACCGCGCCGCGGACCGCACTGCTCCTCTTCTCCCGGCTTCGTCTTCCCTATATTGAACCGCCAGACCTCGCCGAAGAGTGGCCCGCCGGACCCAGTCTCCGCGTCGGCGACTAGCGCCGCGAGGGACCTTTGTCCTGGACGAAAACGAAAGCGCGCCGGGCCCGGGGCGCCCACGCCCTGCCGTGGAGGTCCGGGCCAACGCGCCCCGCGACTTTCTCCAAGTTCACGTGCATCCCCGGGCGGGCGGATGCCGTGGGCCCGAACTTGCAGTGCCTAGCCATCGAGCGCACTGCAGCTTTCGGGCGGGATGGGGGCGACTTGGCGGCGCGGGCCCGAGGCACAATGGGCGCCGCAGGGCTGGCGGGCGGGCGGGCGGGCGGGCACGGGGACAGCGCGGGCCCGACCTCCGCGCGGCGGATCGCCTGGCGCGGCCCGGGCGCCGACTGCGGCGGTGGCGGCTTGGCACAGACGCGCCTCGCGCCCGGTGCATGCTAATGGCCGGCGGCCGCGCCATGAATTATTCAGCAGCGGCGCGGAGAGAGAGAGCGCGGCGCGGAGGGCGGCCCGGCCCGCGCGTCCCCCGCCGCTGCGAAGCCGCCGCGGCGACTTCCCAAACTTTCCCCGGTCCGCACCGAGGATGCTGCCCCTGCGGCTCCTCCGTCACCGCCCGAGCGCGCCAGCCGCGCTTCCCCCGTTGCCGCCTATTTTATGTCTTTTGTCTCGGAGTTGGCACCTGTCCCAGAGAGCGCGTTTCCCTGCCCACCCCTTCGCCGCCGGATCGGGGCGGGGGAGGGGGTACGGGGGGCCCGGGAGAGGAGGGGACGGTGGGTGGGGGAAGCAAGGCGCCTACGGGCCCCGCAACCCCAGGAGACCGCCCAGGGGCGACGGCCGTGCCCGCGAGCCCGGGAGCCCCTGTTTCGCGGGGAGGTCAGAGCTTTGGCTGTGCCTGGAATACCAACGAGGCCTCCCGGGTCCCCGGCCATGCCCACTGCAAGCGAGGACAGGGCGCGGCCCCTCCCCGACTCCCCCCTCCGCCGCGCACCCTCCTCCAGAGGCCCGCGCGCGCAGGCGGGGCGGGAGGCGCGAGCAGCGGATTCGCCACTCGGGCCCCGCGCCTCGCCCCGCAGCCCCGCGTGCGCGCCCCCGCGAGCACGCTGCCCCGGGCGCTCCCCGCCCGCGCGCCCCCGGCCCGCGACCCCGCCCGCCGGCACGCGCGAAGCAGGGGGTACCGCGTTGCGGGGACCCAGCCGCATTTTGTTTCGCGCCCCGTAGGCCGCGCTCCCAAAGCGGGCGACAAGCGCGAGTCCCATCCCGGCCCGCCCCCGCTGCCCTGGCACCCAGGCGAATGCCTGAGCGCGCTCGGCGGCTGCGCTCCGAGGCCCCGGCTGCCATGATTGCGGGCAGCGGGGCACGCGCGCGCGCACTCCCGAGCCGAGCTTGGGGACCCCGGGCCGACAGACTGCCCCTGGCCTGACCGCCGCCCCGTGAGCGCCGCGGACAGCAGCCGAAGTCGCCAGGCTCGTCCTTGCTGGGGCTAGTGTGCGCCATGGAGCTCTAGACCAGGCTCCGGCACAGAGCTCGGGGTCGTCGGTGGCCGCGGGTTTCCCCCGGGGCAGGGCGCGTGCCATGGCGACCCTGTGGCGGCTTCCCGGACACCGCGGGCCGGGCCGGGCCGGGCCGGGCCGATCGAGGGGCCAGACACCCAGTGTGGTAGGGGACGGGGTGCACGGGATCTGGTGAAGTGGAGGAGAGCAGCGTCCTGTACCCAGAGATGGAGGGGGTACGCAAGGTGCCTTGCCGAGGGGGGGTCCTCACGGTGCCTGAGGAGGTGTGGGATGGGCGGGGGCACCGTGTCCGGAGCCAGTGCCCAGATCCGAGCTCGATCTCTTCCTTCCCCGCAGAAACAACTTCCTGCTCCCCAGGCCCAGGGCGCAGGAGCTGCGGGGAGAAGTTACAGGCCGCAGCTTTGCTCTTTCGGAGCCAGCCGACTACACACGCTGCCCGGGGTCGCGGGGCTCCTTCCCGAGGGCCTTCTGGGGGTCGCGATCGGCCAGGCTCCAGGGTCAGGACACCGGTTAGAACGCCGGGGAAGCCGCAGGAGTTTTCCCTGCCTGCGCTGCAGGGACGCCTGAGTGGTTTCCCCGCAGAGGGGGCCGGGCTAGGCTTCTGGTGCTAGGAGACATCGACACCGGGTTCACTATGCCTGGACCCTGTCCCCCTGCCAGGGCATGCCCTAACTGAGAGCCAGATGGGCCTGGCTGTCCTCGGACGCCCGCGACGGGTGCCGGAGAGAAACGAGGCCTCCTGGGCCCTATCCCAATGTCTGTCTGTGCCTGTCTCCCCCCACACCCCCAGCCGGCCTTGGCATTCTAACCAGTGTCCCTTGACGTCATATCTCGCCACTTCTGTGAACCAATTGAAACTTGCCCGTTGTCATAAAAATATATATACTTTTTATGCTATTGGTAAATTCAAAAGTTCCTCGTGTGCCCTGCTTCCCAGGAAACTCCATTCCACATTGGATTGGACCGCCCAGGGAGGGGGGAGAGGCCACAGGGGGCCAGGCTGGGCTGGGGCAGCTGGAGCAGCTCTGCCCGGGACTCTGCTGCCCACCGACTGCCTTTGAGGCTCCCCAGACCCCCATGACCTTGGCCTCAAATTGTGCTGGACACCCACCCACCCCCACACATCACTGCCCCCACTCGGTGACATACCCGGACTGGGGGGAGGGCGGGAGAGAGGAAACAAGCTATATTAAGAAATCTTCTAAAACTGCTTTCCTGGGTGTTAGATAGAGTCTCACTGTAGCTTCTTTCTAGGGATGGCCCTTTTTCCCCCCAAGAGAAAATTCAGCTTTAGAAAATGAAGTAGAAATGTTTTCTGGTTAATCTTTTCATCGAAATCCTGATCAACTTTCACTTTCCACGGCTGCTGACGGCCAGCAGAGACAGGGTGATTTCACAATGGGCTGGCTTTCCTTCCTCTTGACGAAGTTCCAGGGGGGGTCCTCTTGGCTTCAGGGGCCAAGGGTCTGGAGCCCAGGTGTTCCATGCCCCTTCCTCCGAAAAGGCCGCTGTCGGCAGCCTGGGACACGGCGCGCCGTGCTCCGGTCTTAGCAGCATGGCCAGGACAAACAATCTCTTGTCTGGCCCAGTCCTGTAGAGTTTTCCGCACTATCACAGTCGCCCCGCTCGATGAGGATGCATGGAGCAAGAACACAGGTTCCCGTGAGACAAGTATGTTGGGGCAGTCCCAAAGCCACATGCCCTCTGTCGCCCCTCCCGCTCCGGCCACACCAAGGAAGAGCCCGACCACTAACTGCCATTAGAAATCCCCCCTCTCCCCTATCTTTATACCGTAGGGTTCAACTACATTAAAGAACAGATTAAAGGCATTTTGTGGTTTAGCAACTTCGGGGTCTGCAAAGCAACAAAGTGCTTTAAAGGCTGGGCTGAGTGCAGAGATGCGAACATCAGAACATCGTAGGTGCCGGCCCTCTCAGTACCAATTTTGTTTTTCCAAAATAATGAGCAAGCTGGGTTAGGACCAAGTGGGTATTTTGCAAATAAATATATGGTTGCTATTTTCACCTAAAACTGCTCCCAAAGGCAGAGCCTAGAAACGCACAGCTTTGAGATGTGTGCACATACACACACACACGCAGGCATGCACACCGCGTCCGACAACCACACTGTAATCTATTTATAATCACTCCCCCAAACCCAAGAAATATTATAACTAATATGTATATGTTTTGTGATTAAACGGGTGGATTAAAACATTGAATTTAAAAAGCCACAGAAAAAAGGAGAGAAATTATCTTCCATTATGCCACTTACAACTTTTGTTCCATTGGTACGAATACAAATCTGACAACTGTATCATTACTGAAGGCACAGGCTAGATACCACGATATTAGCATTGTAATTTTCACCTGGAATCGTGGTATAATCACAATGCTTCCTAACCTTCCTATTAGCTGATTTTTTTTTTTGCTCTTACACAGGCATAAATTAATTTACTACCTTTTTTCCTTCCCAATTTTTATTTGGTAAAACAAGAAATTGGGTGAGTCAGAGCAATATTTGAGAACACACTCTTTGTAAAAAATCCCCTCTTACTTGGCGGGGATTTAGATATAATTTGGTTGCAAATTCAAAAATCAAATTCTGCTTTGTGCAAGGACAATAACAGCATCCTGGGAATGCCTTTGGGTGTTACTCAGATTGGTTTTTTAAAAGTCTTTTCCTAACTTGCTAGTGTGTTCTATTATTCAAAGTAAATAATATAAAATAGTGCGTTCAGATGATCAAAAAGGAGACGCAGAATATCTGCCCGGTTGCCGAGCGTTCTGACGGACACATTTCCCGGGGCAGGGATCTGCCTGGGGCCGCGTGGAGCCCAAGGTCAGAGAGTTGAAAAATCAGTCACACGAAGGCTCTCGGCTCTACCAGGATGTTTATAGTATCAGCCTCATAGTTATTTTTTCCTGATTTCTCCCAAGATCTGCCTAATGGGAGGGAATGCAGCCGGCCACTTCCTGCTCTGCCGCCGGCCGGAGCGAGCGTCCTGCCTCAGAAGGCTGGGGCTCTGCAGCTTGGCTTCCCTTTTCCCAATGTGGGGCCGTTTAGCAGTTTAAAATATTCCGTCTGCAGCGTTCGTGGGTTTGGTAAGCAGATGCATTTAATCTAATTCAAGCAGGAGGATGAGCGTGAGTGAAACTTACATTTTTCAGTTGGTTTGGACCACGTAACCTGCACACCCCCAGAATAATGCTGAGTTTAAAGCTGGCCCAAGAAACTCGAGACTGGGAGTTTGCAGCGGCCACTTCTTCCGTGACCCCATGTGTTTTTCTGAGCAGCCTCCGGTCCTGTGTGCAAAGGCAGACCAGACTCAGGAATTCCGCTCTTTCGCCTTTGTCTCGGAGTTGCTTCGCAGGCCCGCGGTTCCATTCCGATAGGCCGATTTTGTAATAACTTGTCCTACTTTATGAAGGCTTCATTTTTACTCTCCATTATTTACGCATCAGCCTGTCAGCGCCGATTTACCTTGGGTAAGCATTTTTTTTCCCCCCTCGTGGAGATAGTTGAGGAAGCGGCGAGGGAAGCTTGCTAGTTTAGAAGTAAAACAGCGAACAGAGGAAAGCCATTTGCAGGGTCCCGGGCTGCGTGCGGAGACGTGAGCGCACACCCACGGAAAGGCTTCTTCCTTTCCCGGCATAATGAAGCAATTTCCAAAATCTTGTGTTTTATACTCCACTGTTTCATGTCCATCGTGGCGTGACAACCAGCAACAGAAAGGAAGCTCTGGCCGTGGGATGAGCGTGTCTGAGGCATAAAGCACGGGGCAGGAGCCGGCACCAGCAGCCCCCACCCCACCCCCAATAAAACCAAGCACACGGCAGACCACTTCTGGGCCTCCTTTCCTTTTTAAAAAAATATATGAAAAACAGACCCCGGGCGCCTGCAGCTGACAGCGATCGGCGGCACCTTCTCCGGGCTCCTGACGGGACCTCGGCCGCTGCACACACCCGCAACACCCCCCCATCTGTTCAGAAGCCTTCGGACAGCGGCTGCTTCATCATATTTCACACACCTGGGAAGTCCGCACATTGACTTTCGGAGGTACATGAAAAAGGTCTAACAACCCTCAAAGCATTCCTAAGAAGTTAATTATTATTTTTCAAATAAAAGAACATAAACCTAGGAGTCTCAATAAATGTGCATTCTTCATATACACATATGAGTGTGTGAACACGTGTATGTATAGGAGGCATACATGTCGGTGTGAAAAATTTCCCTCGCCGAGGAGGAATCACCACTGATATTTGCATTCCAAAGTAGCAGCAACACAAACCAGAAATTGTGAGTGAAGGATGAAGGGCCGATACCCCAGGCACACAGGCTTCCAGATCTCAGACGCCAGAGCGGGGTCTCCACCTCCGTAGCAGGCAGGGGAGAAAGCACCAATTCAGGTACGTTTTGTAAAACTCAATTACCTCTCAGAGCGAAGTGGGTGCTGAATTTATTTTAGTCTTTCAATTCTGCAACTTCTAAAATAGAGTCACATAAATTGGGAAAATGAACATTTTTCTGAAGAATTTATTGTACTTCTTACAGTAAACTTTTATGAGCAATTAAAGATACATTAGATTGTGGAGTGTGACAGCTTCTGGTAGAAGAAGGTGCCGGTTTGCACCCGAGCGAAAGGGCAGCAGAACACTTGAGACGAGTTTCACTCCCCAAACGTCCCAGGAATGTCTTCCCTCCACGGTCGCAAAGCCTCGGCGTATTTGAAGTATTTTTAGATCGTATTAATCCTTTATAGGGGCCTGGAATAGTCATTATTTTAATGATCACATCTGCTTTTTAAATCACATCCAAGGAGAATTTAGCTATTAAAAATTTAAAGCAATTTTAAAGTTTAAAAACTGTCAAATGTTTATTTTAGAAATTTTTAAATAATGCTGAAATGCTTGTGAAAGCCTGTTGAAATTTTTTCTTCCCTGTACACAAAACGAGAATTTTAGTATCCTTTCTTAGCCGTACAACCCTTCAGGGAACGGGGTAAATTAGAAAGCCTCTAGAATAAGGGGGGGTGTGGAGGAAAGAAAATAAACTCTGCTTTAGAACTCAAATAGTTCATTGTCAAATTGCAAGAGACAGCAAGAACTTAAAAAAAAAAAATCAAGGCTTCACAAATCGCTTCTTTAAAATGATGGCAACAAAGCCGTGGCTGCCTGAGGAACAGACACAGGCAAAATGGGGGGGGGGGGGCGTCAGTCACAAGTTGTTTGAAATTTGACCATACTGGTCTTCTTTATTAAAATACCCCCATTTTATTTTTTTTTTAATCTACTGCGATTCAGCACAGGTAAGCAATCTGCTTTCTATAGAACGACAGTTTCGTTTTCCTGACTCTGTTGAAACCCCAGAGCTTTGAGACCCTGTTAGCAGGAGGCGAAGTTCAGGTCAGATTTTTCATACATGCCCTTTCTAGAAAAAGTAAAGAAATGTCTTCACTAAATTTATGACTGCAAGACGAGATAACATTCAATGGCTACAAAGAAAAATGCTACAGAAAGAAAGAAAGAAAGAAAGAAAGAAAGAAAGAAAGAAAGAAAGAGAAATAAAGAAATGCTTTCGTTCTGTTTTGTTTCTTGCTATCTGTAAAGCAACTTCTGCTGTAATTCTGGATTTTAGAAGAACTTAAAGTTTTGTGTGGTTTTGTTTTAACCAAAAGATGGTGGTCATGTAAACAATCCAACAAGGGGCGACATTAATTTTGAAAATAAAAGTCTACATAATTTTTACACAATGAACATGTATTTTAAAAATGTGTTTCAAAAGAGGAGAGGTGGGCGGGCATTTTTACTCTGGGGCTTGCTTTTCGACAGAGTTCACAAGCAGGGATTTTTAATTATCAGCAAGCGTTCTGCTTTTGCTAAAACTTTAAGACTGGAAAACTTTTCAGCCCTGTATTCTACAAACCCTGCTTCCAGAGCGGGCCCTCCCAGGGTCCTTGTCTAAGAGGGGCCGTGGACTCGGGCGCCGCCGCCCCTCTCCCCCACTCTCCCGCTTCCCTGAGCCTGGCAGTCTCTCACACATAGGACGCCGGAAATTTCTGGGACTCCAAGCCTCACTGGGAAACTTCTCGTGCTGGGAAAAGGCATCTCAACGCACACCTGGATCTACAGATTCGGAAAAATTAACCAGCTGTAGCCAAAAACCAAAACACTCAGCCGCCCGAACACAGTCTGCCAGAAACACAGAGTTCTTTGACGTGCGTGACAAGAACACATAAATAAAGCAGCTTCAAGGCAGACGGGCTGAATGAGCCTTTTAAGACAGCCTGTTGGTGCCTCAAACTTTAATATTAGAACATTAAATGTTAGCAGCACGAGGAAAACATCCTGGAATGTGTGTGTGCGCATGTGTGTGCCCTCGAACATGCATGGGTGTGTATGCATGGCGTGCCTGTGCGTGTGTAGAAACAAAAGTTTTGCTACCCTTCGGGGGTGTGAGGCTGACTCGAGGTCCTGGGGGCGCCCCGACACGGTCGAAAGGGAGGCCCCACCTGTGCTGTCTTCGGGTCACTCCCCCCCCTTTTTTTTAAATCCTAAACTGAGGACACTTTTTCATTGTTCTCAGAGAGAGAGAAAGAGGGAGAGGGGGAGAGAGAGATAAAAATCAATGTGAGAGAAACATTGATTGGTCGCCTTCCTGTATGCACCCCAACCAGGGTTCGAACCCACAGCCTGGGTATGTGTCCTGACTGGGAATTGAACCTGAGGCCCTCTGGTCTACAGGACACAGTTCCAAACAACTGAGACACAACAGCCAGGGTGGGTCACTCCTTTTTCACTGCGACATGCCAGCACCGGAAGCCAATGAAAACACTGCCCGCCGCAGATAACGAGGGCAGACCTGAGTGCAGACCTCTCCCCGCGAGACAGGACTGTGTTTGCCGATGGGACGGCCAAGCCGACCTCAGGCACTGCCACGAGGACGAAGCAGCAAGGCTGGTGTTGGGCAGTGAGGCTGTTTGCAGGGGGGTGAGCTGAGGCCTCTCTGCCTAGCAGCTCTGGACCCCTCGGGAGGGAAGAACAAACGGGGACTGAGCCGTGGCTTGAGCCCCGCAGACCCTGGCCCGAGCTGGTGGGGACTACGGCAGACAGACCAGGCCACGGGCCTGGGCGCTCCGGCAGCGTGCGTGCCAGGAGGAGAGGGTTCTCCGAACCATCAAATCCAGTCCCCCAAGTTGGGGGTCATCTTGTTGTCCAGCTCCAAGGCCGGATAGGACTGGGATGTTCTTTACCTTGCCCAGTTTCTCACTGGGCTTGGCCCACACCCTCCTGGGGCCACTGCGGACGGTTTCAACACAGTTCACGTCAGCAGAAATGCCTCACGTGTTCGGTAAGTACCAGGTACCCGGTGAGTGGCTAACATTTTTGTCATAAACCCAGCTCACCGTGGAGAGTTCTTTCTAGGCGGGGAGGCACCTTGGGTGTCCGCAGCGAGTGCTGCTCACCCGCCTCACGTGACACCCACAACCCAGAGGAAGGCAGAACAAGACCCGTCAGGCCTCCCGAAAGACCAGGGCAGCGGAGGCCCGCTGGGTGCGGCAGGGGCTTGGCTGACACTGCGCAGACCAGGGGCCTCCAGCCACGGCACGCACACACGCCAGTTGGTTATTTTTTTTAATTTTGCTTTTTTTTTAAAGAAAAACACGGCCACCACCCCCCTCCTCGCACGCCTACACACACAGGCGTATTTTATAGGTAAGAACAGTTCCCAGGAAAAACAGAGCTTCATTGAGATCTGGGTCCCAGAAGGGCCTAAAGCCGGCCGGCTTGTGTGCCCCCCTCCCCCACCCCTCCCCTGCAGCCGGCTTCAGTCATCTGAGGCACGCACCCCCCTGCCAGGTGCATCCTGGTCACTCCCACACGTTAGGCTCGGAAGAATGGACCTCCGGTGTGAAGTCACAGGCCCAGGCTCCCCGCTGGGCCTGCCAAAATCCTCCTCACAAAGCCGCTTCCACTGCGCTGAGGGGTCACAGCACACTCCGCGCACCACCCTCTCTGCTGGGCGCTGGCACCCTGCAACTGGGTGCCCCCTGGGCAAGCAGCCCCACCCGAGCTTGCCCCCTTCTTCAGGCCCTCTGGGAACCCGGCAGGCCCCTGTCTATGGTCTCAGTGGGAAAGGCCAGGCAGCCAAGCAGAAGGGCCTGCAACAATCCCAGTCAGCCATCAGTAAGGACACCTGATGACGGGGCCCCGGGGAGAGGCTCACTGTGGGGCTTCTCTCCTGGAGGGGAGACCAGGGTGCCAGGCCTGGACATCAGCATTCTGCAGGGGCAAATACCTGCCATCAGTTTAAGCTATGAATCCTCCACAGAGGGGGAGGGGGAGCGAGCGCCGTGGCTGCTGAAAGAGGGGACAAAGGGAGAGGGAGCTGGGTTATTCGGGAAACCGCTCTGGGGTAGACAGTAAGATCAAGGCCCTGTAGGGCTTTCCTCTCCAGCAGAAGTCTGCACAGCAACCTAGAAACCCGCCAAGCATCTGGCTCCCCTCCCCCCCACCCGCCCCACCCGCCCCACCCGTTCCTGGCAGGACCCCAGGGCTGTCCTCATTACAGTGAGGCGCAGCCCCACCCCCTAGAATACCAAGTCTTCCCCAGGCCAAATTCCACATCAGAATGTCCCACCCCACAAAGCACAGAAACAAACTTCACATTTTAAAAAGTCTCCCTGGCTGGCTCTGGCCAGGTGGCTTGGTTGGTTGGAGCACTGTCCTGATACGCTGAGGCTGCAGGTTTGATGCCTGCTCAGGGCACATCCAAGGATTAAGTGGAACAACAAATTGATGTGTGTCTCTCTCTCTAAAATAAAAGAAAAAATCAAAACATAAATAAAAATTAAAAGTCTCCCTGGCAAAGCCAGGTGAACAGAACTATGAAATAAGTGGGGAGCAGACCAGCGGCGTTTCGCACGGCCAGGCTTGGCGAGGCCGGGAAGCCACTCGGCCCTTCCTCCAAGGCTGGCGCTCTTTTCTTTTCCTTTCTGAACATAATCACAAGAGAAAGTGTTGTGTTTTTTTTAAACAGACAAAAACCTTTAAAATAAAATAAGTTAAAAGATACTAAGTCTCCAAAGCTTCTTGGGGTAAAAATTATAACCGTGTCTAGTGTTTGAGGAAGAAACAAGGAACAGAGGACACGGACCGACCAAGGCCTGAATTTCGTGTGGACTGCCCTCATCACACCTGCGCATCCGGCGGCACCTGGAACTGCGGGAGATCCTGGAAAGGTGGTGCTCTGGGTAACGACAAGCCTGAGGAAGAGAGCCCGCTGCGGAAGCGTGGAGTGCGCCAGGTTCCCCTCACAGGGGGCTCTGGGTTCTGCCCCCCTTTCCCTTTTGCAGGATTCCCAGCAGAAGTGAAAAGTAAAGAAAGAAAAACAGGGCACAGTAAGTCTGTCCTGTCTGCGCCTCCGCTGGCGCCGGAGACACGATGCGGCTGCCCCAGCCGCGGAGTCGGGAGGCCTGCGCGCGCCCGCTGCAGATCGTGCCGGGCTCGCCGCGCAGGGCCGCAGCGGGTCCGCCGAGCCGAGCTGAGGCTGAGGCCGAGGCGGGAAACAGGGCGGTCTGGCAGGCGTCAGGTCTGGGGTCTGCACGCAGTGGGGTCCGAAGTCCAAGTACGTGGCCCGGGACCACGTGGGCCAGGGCCGGGTCTGCAGCAGAGCCAGGCGGGGGCTCAAGATCGACTCAGTTCGGAGCGAGCCCGCGTCCAGGTCGGGATCTGAGTCCGCATCCAGGCCAGGGTCTGAGCCACGGTCTAAGCTTGGGGTCCAGGTCTGTGTCCGAGTCCGAGTCCTAGGCGCAGCCTGGTTCGGGGTAAGAGGCCCAGTTTGAGTCCGAGTCCGAGGAAGAGCCAGGGTCCAAGCTGCGGGCCGTTTCGGACTCGCAGTCCGAGCTCGTGTACGGGCAGACCCGCGGTCCGGGGCAGGAGGCCCGGGTCCCAGCCCGTGTCTAGGGTCCCGTCTGCAGGGCAGCTGGTTGGGGCCGGAGAGAACAGCGGTCTGGGGGCTGCGGCCCCAGGTGCGTCAAGCGGAGATCGCCGCGCGAGCCAGGGGCGCGTCCCAGTCCGAACCCGGAGCTGCGCCGGGGACCAGGCTCGGGATGCGTCTGCTATGGAGTCAGGGTCTGAGCCCGAGTCCGGGGTGGAACTGGGGTCCAAGCTGTGTTCTGTTTCGGAGTCGGAGACCGAGGCTGCAGTCCGGCCTTGGAATCCGAGTCCGCGTTCGGGCAGAACCGGGATACGACGTAGGAGGTCCGGTGAGAGTCCGAGGAAAGAAGAGCCGGGGTCTGAGCTGCGGGCCGTTTCGGACTCGCAGTTCGAGTCCGTGTTCCGGCAGACTGCGGTCCGGGGCAGGAGGCCCAGGTCCCAGTCCGTGTCCACGGTCCCGTGTGCAGGGCGGCTGATTGGGGCCGGAGAGAACCGCGGTCTGGGGGCTGCGGCCCGGGTGCGTCAGGCAGAGATTGCCGTGCTGCCGAGGTCCGCGGGTCCGCGGAGCCGAGGGTCCGCGTCCGAGTCCGAACCCCGAGCCGAGCTGCGGTCCGGGATTGGGATGCGTCCACATCTGGGTCTTGGTTCGGTGTTGAACCCGGGTCGGAGCCACGGTCCACTTCAGAGTCCCAGTCCAAGCGCGTCCCAGGCTCGGGATCCGAGTGCGCGCCCGGGTGCGCGGCAGCGGCGGCGGCACGCATCCCGATCGGCCGCGCTCCGAGCCCAGCTCCTGGGGTCTGACGACTTCAGACCCGGAGCTGAGTGCGTGGACCAGGGTTGGGGCTCGTGACCGGGTTCGTGTCCGTGGCCTGGTACGAGCCGTGGTCAGGATCCGACACTGAGTCCGGGGCGGAGCGGCGGCCGAGTACCACTACGGTCTCCCGCCGAGTCCGCAGCGGCGGCAGCGGCGGCGGCGGCAGCATCTCAGCGATCAGCGGCGGGCCGCGCTCGGGGCCACGCCGGCGTCCACGTCCGAGTCCAAAGCCAAGTCCACGCGTCCACATCTGGGGTAGAGCCATGGTCCGAGCCACGACCCGTGGCCGTGGCCAGGTCCGCGGCAGCGCGAGCCGCAGTGAGCCACGGTCCACTCGTGGGGTCCGTGTCCGCGGCAGCGGCCTGAGTCCGCCACTGTGTCTGCGTCCGAGTCCGCGTCCGAGTCCGCGTCCGTGTCCCGGGTGGAGCTGCGGTCCGTGTCTTGGTCCACGCCCGCAGCCGGGTCCGAGTCCAGGTCCGGGTCCGGGTCCGCGTCCGCGTCCGGGTCCGCATTCGCGTCCGAGTCCGCCTCCGCGTCCGCCTCCGCGTCCGAGCCCAGGTTCCAGGCCCCGCCTGGGTCCGAGTCCTAGGTGGCGGGCGGCACGCGCCCCAATTAGCCGCAGGCGGGCGGCCCCATTGAGGGCGAACAAAGGGCACGACCCTGGGTCAGGGAGTCGCGGGCCAGCGGCCGCCGCTTTGTTCGCTGCACTGTTTACTTTGCCGAGCGAAGCGCACAATATAGTGACTAAAGCGGATTAGAGGGTCGCGCCCCGGAGGCCTCGGGACCTCCCAGCTGGGCCTCCCGGGCGGCCCGGCCTGCCGGGCGGGCCCTGCGCCTCTGGGGGGCCAGGAAGCGGAGGGCCCGGCCGGCTCACCTGCGCCGCGTGGCGGCGAGCTCGGCTACTCCAAGCGCTGCCGCCGCTACTGCCGCTGCCGCCAGCCGCGAAAGCCAAAGGGCCGCGCTGCTACTTCCCGACTCCTCCTGTTCGCGAGACTGTACCCTTCCCGACGCTGCCGGCCTGGCCCGGGAACGCATTTTACAGGGAAGCAAACGTCACTTGCTTGAAGGCTAAAATGTTTTACATGAAAACACAAGGCAGATTTTTCCATATTCCTAAACCTTCTAGCATTATGGTTAAAAAAGAAAATTCCCGCCCTTTACTTGACACAAACCACGCACCCCTGTGAATCTGCAAGAGACTTAACGTGCAGAATAATAAGTTGTGTACAGAAGTCCTGAGAAGTGCTGTGGAGAGAAAAATTTTTTCTTTCTTTCTTTCTTTCTTTCTTTCTTTCTTTCTTTCTTTCTTTCTTTCTTTCTTTCTCTCTCTTTCTCTCTCTCAAGACAGCAAATGCTGCATATCAATAAACTATTAAGATTTTGACCCAAAGACCACAGTTTATCATCTGGCATTATGAATTCAAGATCTACGTACTTCTCCAATAGAAACTTGCAGAATCTTGTAAATTGCCCTTAAACACCAAGCAGTCAACGCAGAAAGCACAAACTCACGATTCCAGCACAGGGTCTAACCAGGGGAGGGTGCTCAACTGACCAAGCCCCTAAGGCAAATGACTTTTTTCCCTTTCTCCAGGCTACTGTTTAGAGGACAAAAAAAAAAAACAAAAAACCGCTTCTCCTTTGGTTCACAATAAATCTTGAGATTTTCCTGCCAGAACTGTGCAAGTTTGGGTAGGGAACCCATGTAGTGTTTATTAATTAGCTACCGATGTACAAATCTTTTATAAAAGAACGAATAATATTTACTCACTATACATATTTGTTGGCCTAACAAATATTTCTGCGAGGTGCCATCTACCCACATCCACTGAGGCAACATATGCCATTTATCTATATTTCTAGTCACAAGCATTTAGAGAGGATTTCCCCCCTGCTTATAAAAATGCCGTGTGTTTAGAGAAGGCATAGCTAAGTCTAAAATGTAAGTAATTTAGGAGCAAAATGTAAAGATAGAAATTTAAGAGACAGACCATTTAAGTAGTCAGTGTAAAATATAAATAATGCAAGTACAAAATGCATGGAAAGAGAAAAATTCACCTATATGCCATTATCCAGAAATAACATTCTTTTCATGTTTCCTTCTCGACAGTCCACGCGGGCCTGCAATCACATAATTTGCATGTGCATTTCCTGTTTCTGAAACGTATCCCCTCGTCGTTACAAATGCTTTGTCAACAGCGTTTGCACAGCGGCACAATATCCCATTATTTTGTTACATGAAAATTACCGCAGGGTTCCCTGTTATTCCAGATTCGTTTTCTGGGAACTATTTCTATGCTGCGACGAACACGGCAGCCAGTGGTCTGGCTTGAGAACTTTGTCTGCAGGGACGTCTGTCGTTGAGGGTGTTGAAGTCACTGCATATTCTAGGGGGTTCAAGCAGACCCCGCAGATTCCCCTTCTCTTATCAGACACGAGCTCAGAAATTCTAGAATCCCCCTTGGCTCACATGTGCTCCAGAAGGCAACCTGGAAGTCAGCTCCTTCCCCAAGAGAGGCCTGGGGATAGGGAGCCTCTGTCCGGCAGATTTGGGGGACCCGCTGAGGCACACGTCCACCTGATTTCGCCAAGGCATTTGGGGTTGTGCCGGCTGACCTCTGCCTCCAAGTCACTTGGCACCAGCCTCAACCACTTGGTGGCTTTAGGTCAGGACCAGAAGGCGGGACACCTGGGAAACATTATCTCAACAGTTGGATGAAACTTCGCCCGGCTGAGAAGTGGCACCTCTGATTCGGTCCGAGCAGTTCTCTTTGCTGAGTCTTCTGACCTCACACTCACTTCTCACTGGGCCGCAGGGGCGCTGCTGTCCCCCCACCGCCCTGCCCGTCCTGTGGGGAGAAGGCCCGGCAGGCCCTTCTCTGTCTCCAGGCTCAGGCCCTGCTGCGCACGCCCTTCTCCCCACACCCTGATCAGCCCGCAGGCCGGGCTCTGCCCTGGGGTGGTGCCGGCAGTCTGTCTGATGCCCCGGGCCCGAGGTGTGCCCCCCACACACCAGGGCCTGCCTGCCCGGAGGAGGCGGCCTGTGGCCAAAAAGGAGCATCGGCCAGTGAGGAGCAGGGGACCCGGCCACAGAATCACAGAGTCATATGAAAGGAGATGACACTCCGAGAATCGGCAGGGCCGGGAGGCACAGCCGTGCGAGCCCACGTGGCCGCAGCTTCACTGGGAGGAGAAGGAACAGTTTTTCCCTCACACGCATTTTCCAAATTTTCTACGAGTTTCCATTGCTCTGATAATTAGAAAACGATCCTATTAGTGATGCAACTGTCTTTCTTGCACGTCAAATCGATCTAATTCATTATAAAAATAAAGTGAATTACTGTTCATGAGTTTACATGAATAGTTATAAGCACATATTGCCGGGACGGTTACAAAGACGGTGACGGTAGCCCCTGTGTGTCTAGCACTTCACCTTCAGAAAAACACTTTCAAACGGAAAATGAAACTGGGCGGCCTGGCCAGGCACATTCTGGCTGCCGCTCTCAGGTCCCCGCCGCAGCCCTTGATGCTGGGCTGGAACGGACACGGGTCCTCTCCCGTGGACTCTGGGCACCTGAGTCACGGAGGCGTTGCGTCTGCACCGTCCCCACGGCAGCGTCTGGCCCTCCGATCCCGGCACCTTCCTACAGAGGAGACATTTCCCCAGGGTGCGAGCGTGTTTCCTGGCGTTCCGAAAACATTTTTGCCATTCCTGGAGGGGGTGCCTGCATCCAGGGTGGAATGGCAACGAGTGAAGATTTTGTTGGGTTTGCTTTGAAACAGTGCTGTTTGCACAGGGTCCAGGTATCCCTTGAGAGGGGTGCTCCTGAGTTCGGGGGGCCGGGAGGCCCTGGGAAGCGGCCCGGCTGAGGGGGGACATCACCACAGCCAGGCAGGGCCTGTCTCTTCCACAGGATGACATTAGAGCCCGATGCCACAGTCTTCCTGGGAGGGAAGCAGCGCGCCGAGGACGGCGGCTCCTGCACGGGCCTGCAGAACCGCTCGGCTGAAGTCCCGCAGACGCAGGCATCTGCCGGGGCGGGAAGGAGCCTTTCCTTATCTTATTTATTTATTTTTTTACAGCGGGCCATTTACAGCCCCTTGATAACAACAGATGGGAACAAATCTACAAATCAAATGCGTTTGAACCGAAGTCTCTTTCTTCAAAAGTGAGTGGAAAGGCAAGCCAGCCGGCAGTTTTCTACTGTAAAAGGCAATTTCTAAATTTGTTTTTTGAGGGGGGGAAAAAAAATTTTGTCCTCCAGCTTGAAAATCCAACGGCTCTCAGAATGCGAGCACGGTACACTCCTCTGTGTGCTGAAATCATCTTAACTGGTTTAAAATAAATCAGAACAAAACGATGAGAACTGAGCATATGTCTCCCATCACCCGCCGTCTGCAGACGGCCGTGGGACGCTGCACGCAGCCCGTGTGCCGCCAAGAGCCGGGGGGGAACGGGCCCCCAGCTCGTGGCTGAGGATTCGGAACAGGGCCCAGGCAGCAAACAGACCTCAGCTTTTTAGATTCCTAAGACAGCCTCAGTTTTAGACAAGGAGTCAGTGATAAACTAGATAATTCTAAAATGTAATCAACAGGTAAGATAAATAAATCGGAGACATGTATTCCCTCCGAGAAAAATGTCTGGCCCTTGGGGGTTTTAAGCTGTAAATCGGTGGGCACTTTTTAAAAAGACCCTCTTTCCTCGCCGTCCTCACACAGGGCACGCAGGCCCCCCGCCTCCTAAAACACAAACACACACCACTCGGCCGCAGCACGGAGCGGCCAGAGCGCCGAATCTCTGCCTGGATAATTCTTAAATTAAGGAGCCGGTTAGCTGTGTTTTATGCCTGTTGGGGGGCAGTTACCTTCTCCACGTGTTAATAATTTAACTGTCAGAACACAACAAACAGCTAATTCCGCCTCTGGATTGCGACCCAGAAGGGGAGATTTTAATCGTAACTGCGAGATAGCAAATGCGGACAGGAGCCCTGCTTTCAAAGTGTCCCCAGACGGGGCTGGGACATGACTAATTTATTTTATCTTCTCCGTCTATCTAGGCACAGGATTAAAATATTTATATCAGTCTGTTCGCTTTAAAACGGGCGGTGTGGGCACCAGCTTCAGGGCCCCTCCTTAATTTTCACAGTTTGGGCTTCTCATTGTTTCCAGAAACGCACAGCCCTTGCACGGGGATCAGTCTGAAACACAGACAAGACCTTTGCGCGGGGAGCCCGGCAGACTCGGCTCTCGGCTGGTCAGAAAGCCCTTCCTCAAGCCGTGAAAACAGCCCTGGGGACGACTCGGGGCCGACGCCTGTCTCCCAAGAGGAGCAAGTGGAGAAACTTTGCAGGCCCCATCCTGGCTCCCAGGAGCCCGCCTCTTGCCAGCTTGGCTGATGGAAACCAGAGCCTGGCAGGGGTGCCAGGTAGGTAGTGGGCAGCAGGGGGTTAATCGGCCAGTGGGGAGGGGCCCAGGCGAAGAGCCGGGCAGGGATGGGAAGCCGGCAGGGGAAGTGGCCAGGCGCAGACACAGGGGGCTCTGTCTGCCTGCCCGCTGCCCAGCACTGTGACTAACCGCCCCGCTATTGTACCCTGAAGCCAGCCCTTTGTACCCGTCCCCCTGGCGTCTGGGAGCACGGTGGAGAGGCCTGTGCAGCAGTCATCCCTCGCCCTGGAAACCTGCAGCCTCAACACTCGTTTGTGCAGCTCGGGGAGAGGACTGCAGGGGTGTGGGGGGAGGCACCTCCTGACCAGGGGAAGCGTCCAGCGAAAAAGCAGCGGAAAAAGCAGTCTCCCAAACCTGGGGGGCCATGGGGACCACTGAGCCTGCATGCCCCGTACACCAGTCTCTCTCCATGAGCCACACGAGGCCACTGAGCCTTTGAAATGCGGAGTGTGTGAGCGACTGAGATGTATGTCTAAAACGCACTCTGGATTTCAAAGACGCAGCATGAAAAAAATGTAAAATATCTCATCAATAATTTTGTATTAATTACATACTGAAATATGTGTGTGTATATATATGTATATATATATATCAGATTAAATAAATGGTATTATGGCAGTGAATGTCACCTATTTTCACTTTTTAAAAACAAAAACTGTGGCTGCTGCCACATGTTAAATTGCAGATGCCGGCTCTGACCGCTGTTACGTACGACTCAGGTGGGTCGGGCATCATACACAAAGCAAAAGAGAGGTCACCAGTCCGACTCCTGGTCGGGGCACATGCCTGGGTTGCGGGCTCGGTCCCGGCTTGGGGTGCATACAAGAGGCAGTGGATGAATGTTTCTCTCTCACATCAGCGTTTCGTTCTCTTTCTTCCTCCCTTCCCCTCTCCTAAAAAGAAATAAAATCTCTTGAAAAACTGCAGAGGCGGCCGTGTGTGTGGCCTGTGGCATGTTTGTACAGCACAGAGCTGCGTCGGACTGTGGGTAGCGGAGGCTGTGAACTTCCAAGCCGGGAGAAGGCGGATGGAAGCGGCCATCACACATCCTGCCCCGTGACAACCCACAGCCGAGGGCCAGGAATACGAGGCCCTCGCGGCCCTACACAACCTCGGCCTCATCGTCGGTATGGAGCCTTGCACACCCACGTGTCCAGGAGCCCTTTGGAAAGCACGTGTGTGCACAGGAACACACAGAGGCGAGAGCCCTGTGTTTGCCTGTCCTGGCTGGCCTTTGGAGAAGCCGCATTCACAGGGCCCCAGGTGGCCCCCAGAGGACCCCTGGAGCCAGGTCTGGGACAGACTGGCCGGGCCAAGGCCTCATCACGGCCTTTGTGTCCCCAAAACTTTTGCTGTTGTCACCGCTCCCACCAGAAATGTCCCAAATGCCTCTGGCCACGCTGGTGTAAAGAGGAATACAATCCAGGCTGAATCCATCATTCTACGTTCATTATGATTATAGCCGTTGTTGATTCTGATTTTAAGAGACACGAAAATTAAAACACATTCACAAGCCCTGGGCCCCGAGCCTCAGAGCTCGCTGGACGGTCCCGCCCAGCACCCGCCCTGCATCCTGACCCCGGAGGCATGCAGCCCCTCCTCTGCATTCGGGAGGCACCTGCCCCTCCTCCACTGACCAGGCGCCCCTCCCCCCCCAAGAATGCATTCCTTAAGTCCTGCCCTGAACGTGCGGTGTGGGAAGCCTCCACCAGATGCCAAAAACCTTCCCGTATTGTTTTTCAAACACCGAAACCCGCCACAAGAGAGGCGCAGGATCCCAGCATGGCCGAGGGCTCCAAGTCAGCGAGAACCAGAGCCCCACGAGCACAGCTGGGGTCCCCAACCAGAGGCCAAGTCACCACACTCAACACCAAAAGACAAGCCCGCCAGGCACCGGGACGGTGGTGTGAGAGGTGACGTGACGGTGCCTGGAGGCCCAGCACGTGCCAGCCCGGGCACCCGACCTCTGGCCCACACACCCCTGCACCAGGCCCAGCCTCTGGACAGGGCTGCCAGGGAGGCTTGGCTGCCCAGCATGTCCCAGAAATAGGCCTCAGGAGCTCTGGCCAGTCCCCTCTCATAGCGCCACCGTGCCAGGCCTGGGCCCAGACCCTGCTGGGGAAAACCTCGGTGCAGGAGATGGTTAAAATTCTGCATCCTTTTTACATCCGCCTCTAGAGGAAGCACTGCTTTTTTTTTCCTCCCAAGCAGGAGGAGTTAAAAAAAAAAAAAAAAAAAAAAGCTGAGAGCAGCAATTTGCAGGCCTTGGGATGTTTTTCTCCTTGACAGCCCTGGGCCCCGCCTTGCTGGGCCTTCCTCCGCCCACGGCCACAGCTCGGTGTCTGCGTTCCTGCCTGGGCCCCTTGCGTGCTCCCCGGGCCTCCCCTCCACTGGTCCAGAGGGAGGGGGAGGGAGGGAAGGAGAGAGGCCAGCCGGGAGGTAGCAGCCAGGCCTGGTACTGCCCTGCTTTGTGCCCGCTCCCTGCAGCCGCTCTCCCCCTGCAGGCCTGTCCGACGCGCCCCACCACCTGCTGCCCGCCCCGTGCCCACCCTGCGCCCACCCTGCACCCGCCGGGGTGCCCTCACCTTTTGGGCCCCGGCCTCCGGGCTGGGGCGCTGCCTGAGCCCAGGGTGCCCGGCCACGTCCTCGGTGCTGCCGCCGCTCGCCCCACCCTGCTGCCCGAGTGCGGCGGCGAGCCTGGCATCGTGCCAGGCTGCCTGGGAGCCCAGCCCGGGCGGGGGGAGGGGTGCGGCGGTGCCAGGGGAGGGAGAGGCCCAGATGCCCGGCTGGCCCACAGGGCCTCCCCCTGCCTCCCGTCTCCTGAGTCCCATAAAGGCACAGACAACACGGGCAGTTTAGTCAAAACAGTCCTGTACAGGAGCCGGAGCCCCAACAAAAGCCCTTATTTATTTATTTAGTTCACACACTCAGATAAGGAGCCGCCTTTGTGCACATAATTTCACACACACCAGAGAGGAGGGGTGCCACAGTGCTCCCACCTCCGGAGCCTGGAAAGCCACTGGGCGCACGGGGAACCGTGACTCCCGGCCTGGGCATTTCCATATTTAAATCGGGCAGCAGCATATGATTAATTAAGGAAGAAAAAGGCAAAAAGGAAGAGAAGTGGTGGGGGTGGAACGCCGGATGTTCTGGGCAGCGCAATGTGCCAACGTGCCCACTGAAGCTTAACTCCTCCTCTGCTGGGCATGGGGGCTCCCGGGGCGTAGCCTGGAGGGAGTGCGAACCTTGCCCCTGCTGAGCCCAGCCTTGGGGTGCACACCCTCGCCGGCCTTCGTGTATCCAGTGCCACCCCAAGAAAGCTCTTGTCCTGGCTTTCTTATTTGGAGCTGCTCAAGTGTGCTGCGTGGGGCTGGGAAAGGGACACCCCGCTGCAGCTGGACAGACTGTCCCCACACCTCCCCTTCGCACAGCCCCAGTGCGCAAGCTGCCACGAGGCCCTGCTCCGGGGTGGGGGGTTCCAGACCCCTCCGAACTCACGCAAGCCCCCGCCAAGGGCTCCCCGTGGCCCTCTGTCCCCGGGGTCACCAGGCCTGTTCTGGGGAACTCCTCTGGAAAGAGTCACGGGCTGTGGCCCAGTGAGAGCCGGGCAGTGTGGTATTGCTAGAGGGAGGCAGTGGCCCCATGGAGCCCTGGATTTAGGGTCCAGCCGCCACCAAGGCTGGACCCTGCCTCCCGTGGCCTTGAGCAAGTTATCTGGCCTTTCTGGGCCTCAATCTGCCCACCTGTAAAATGGGGCCAACAGTGCTCGCTGTGCCTACCCCGTGGGGTTGAGGTAAGGAAGAGCGGCTCCTAGTTGAGCACGGAACCTGCCTGGGTTCCCAGAACCTCTGCCCTTAAGATGAGCTGGCGGGGGTGGGCTGGGCTGGGGTAAGGGCCTCTGGCAGGAAGTTCCTCCGAACAGGAGGTGCTCACAGGGCAGGTGGACCGAGTTACGGGTCTGGCAAGGTGAGAGGCACCTGGATTACCCAGGTGGGTGCGATCTCACCACACCCAATCGAATCTAATCGCACCCAATTGAATCTAACCTCATCCAATCTGATGCTTCCTTACCACCGGGGGCCCTAGCCCAGCTGCAGCCAGAGAGAGTCTCCGCCACACCTCTCTGAGGATGGAAGCAGGGGCCAGGAGCCCAGGAACTGGGTGTCCCTGGAAGCTGGGAGGGCCAGGACACAACCCCGCCCTGGAGCCTCCAGAAGCGTCGGCCAGCACCTTGACTTTCGCCGTGAGGCACTGCGGACTTCCGGCCTCCACGACTGTGGGATCACAAACTTGCACTTTGGAGCCATTCCGCCAGTGAACAGTGTGAATGCGGCAACAGCGAGCCGGCAAACCCCTCTCCTCCCCACACCACCCAGAGGCCTCTGAGGGAGGCCACCCCTCGGTGGGGTCAGCAGCCCTCACCCTGGCCCTCGGGAACCTTCAGGTAGAGGCCAGATGCCCTGCAGAGCCCCCCTCTCCCTCTCCTCCCCCTGCTCTCCTTGCCACCTGTATGGGGTGTCCCCTGTGAGTGGCACCACGCTAAGGGGTAGCTCACCCATCCCCAGCCTGATGGCCGAGGCAGCCTGACCCCCAAATCCTGCCCATAGCACGGTGGGACTCGGGCCCACCACGAACGAGTCCTTCCCGCAGCAGGTCAGGCGCGAGGTCCCGGGGCCAGTGCCTCTGCCCACTGGCCTGGAAAGGCGGCTGAAGACAGCCCCTCCCGGGGCTCCGTGGGGCGGGGCAGGGCTGGCCAGAGGGGCGAGCGCAGTGGGACTCACTGCCTCTCAGTCACGTCGGCTCCGGGGAGGACTGGTTTTCCTCTAAAACGGAAAAGACAGGCAGTCAGGCAGCCCTGGCCGGTGTGGCTCGGGTGGTTGCAGCATCACCCCTTGAACGGAAAGGTGATGGGTTCGATTCCCAGCCAGGGAGTGAAGGAGAGGCAAGCGATCGATGTTTCTCTTCCCTCTCTCTGAGATCAGGAAACACATCCTTGGGTGAGGATTTAAAAAAGAGAAAAGATGCCAGGGCATTCATTCTTTCAGCGAGGGGCTGGGGGCTGAGCCCCTGGCCCAAGTGGAATTCAGAACCAACCCAAGAAGCTTCCAGAACCTAATGGTCTCCCAAACAGCCTCCCTTCCCTCAAGAAATAAGCAGAAATCGGCACACAGACATTCCTCAAAGTGTTGCTTGTGACCGGGAGGACAGGAAGTTGTTGGAAACATTCTGTTCTGAGCCCAATGCTAAGGAGCCAGCAAAGGAAATCCACCAAATGGAATATTAAGTAGTCATTAAAAATCAGCTTGTGGAACAGTATCTTCTCATTCACAGAATGAGTCGTGATAAACCCTTCAGTGGAGCCAGCAGAAAATAAAATGATACACAGAATAAGATGCTAAGATGCTTATTTTTGTTTCAAATTATGCTTTTCATAGAAGCTGGGAGCAGGGTTCCCACTGGCTGTTTCTGAGGGTCGTTACACAGGTGACCGACAGCTTTTTCCTCCTTTTATGAGGCCTAAAAATGTTCTAAAACTAGCATGTGACATCAGTAACGGACAAACCAATCCTTGCAAAAGAACGGTCATGCCTCCTCCGAGGACCTGCCTGTGGGGCGCCGGGGCCTGGGCACACGCGAGGGACCGGCCAGCAGGCCGGCTTCGGGACCTGGCAGCCGCACCGGGCCCACCCGCCGCGGCGCCGCCCTGCTCCCAGAAGCACCTGAGCTTGGTTTACCGCTCTGTTGTCACCGTCTTGAAATTCTTGATCACTTTTGATTCAGAATCAAAAGCGCACCATGTTTTTAGTTTGCACCGGGTCCTGCAAAGGAAGGAGAGGGTCCAGGCCCAGAGCCCCAGGCTTGGCACCTCGGGACTTTCCTTCCCAGTTCCCTAAACACAACAGCAGCTTTGGGACCAGGTGCGTTTTACCCCCACTCAGAGATTCCCTCTCTCCTTCTCTTTGCTACATGCGCCTTCAGCAAAAGTGGGAAAGAGGGCGGTTTGTAAAAACTCGCTTTGATCACTTGCAGCCCTTTCCCTGGGGTCTGAAACCAGCCCCTCGTCCCGTTTTCAGGAGCTTCTTCTCACCAGGTGTGTGTTTTCGCCAGTGAAACCAGACGTTACTGCTGTGGACCCACATCTGGTCCT